AGTTGGTGTAGTTCCAGTGACAGACAAAATTAGAGAGAGACATCATAGTCACATTAAACGTCAACCATCTGATGATTCAATTAGAAGAGTAAATTTTCTATATTCAACTTATGTTATAAAAGTCAAAGGTAGATCTAGGATGACTTGAGCATATTGTATAAAAATAATCTTAATTTATTAGATTTAAATGAAAATATGACACTAAATAGGACGCAATGGAGAAAAAGGATTCATATAACCGACCTCACTCCAACCTCACTAAGTGGGATAAAGGTTTTGTCGTTGTTGTTGTTGTATTTGATCAAAATATGGCCATGAAATAGGTAAATCTTATCGAAACGCAAAAAAATTTGTATATTTTATTTTTTCTTCATTTAGTTTCACTCAAAATTTTATTACAACCCTAACATTTTCTAATCTAAACTTATAAAATGTACAAAATCCTACTTAAGTAAATCTTACTTGCAACAAAAAAGCCCCTCATGACCATGTAATTGTTGGAATGGAAAAGCTTTTAGGAAATGACAAAGGCTAAAAAACAACTTATGGAAGAAGCTTCACTCTTATTTAACACCTTAACTTACTTTTTACATTTATATCACCCAAATCCTTCCATTTCACATACAAAATACCACCATTTTAACATTAAAAAAGTAAAATACACCATTTCCTGCATAGAGAAGGTGGCAAGTGGGTAAAAAATAGAACTTTGGCTGTTCAATATGTAAATACATTGAAAATGAGTGGTATATATGCAAATCTTCCAAAAAAAAAGAACTGCCGGAAACCCTATAGTCCCTCAAGTAAAACAAAAAATGTAGAATATTTTAACACTTGCAACTTCGTAAAATTGTGAGCAGAAAGCTAACACTTGCAACTTTGTAAAATTGTGAGCAGCAAGCTGTGCGAAATCTGAATGCGAAGGCATAGATGGAATGCAGAAATTGAGGGTGAGGACACCTCTAAAAGCATCGGTGAGAAGGTGTTGCCGGACATGGATGCAGAGAGCTCGGATCCAAGTCTGAAGATTATAGATCTCCACGATAGCGTCGGCTATGTCGGCAATGCTCGACTCGCACGGACAATTGTAGAGGAACTGATGCTCCTCCTCCGCCGTCGCCCCCTTTACCTCGATCCGTACCATTTTCTGTATCAGATGCCCCGAAATTTTTTCCTACGGACTCCAATATGTCATGAGTGACGAGTGTGCTATGCTAACCCACATCATAAATTATTAAAAATATTAGCTAGTTACTAAATTGAAACTGCAGAAGTTATTGAGACGGTTCAGTATTAACATGGGTTATTAAGAAAAAGTTATTGGAGTTAATATCCTAATAGCATTGAAATGTTACCCCCAATATCCTTAAAATAACACCTAATTTGATAGATTTGAAGTAAATCTGCTGTTATTTTGGGGTTATTGGGTACTACTTCAGTGTTATTGGTCCAGTAACACTATAATAATCCATCAATAAACTTCACAGTTCCACTTCAATAACCTCTTGTAATTACTCCCACAATAACCCTCAAATAACTCTTTATTATTTTCTATAGTTTTCCAATCTCTTTATTATGATATATTTGGACTTCATAGACAGTAAAATTGTTTATATTATACAATAATTTAAATAATATATGAGATTTTGTTGTACATGAAAGATGTAATAAACGGAAATTTACATAAACAACACCCAACTCTTATGTATTTACTCATCTTAAACTCACTCTTATTTTACAAAATCAACACCTATACAAATGACAAGTTGAAATGGATAAACACATAAAGCATTGAGTGTTGTATATGCAAATACCTCTAGAATAAAATACATAAATTTTTGTTTTGATAGCTTGGATAATTTCATTTTCACACGCTTCGTGACAAAAAAGAAATTTAAGAACATGTTGACTATTTATTTTCTTAAACATATCTAAATTTTTTTTTTAGTAAATTGTCCCAATAAGTAGGAAGAACATATTCTGTACATCCACATTTTAACTTTTCTTCATTGATCATGCCACGGATGTGTTGTCATTCTAATTTTTTTTTTTTTCAAAAAGAGTCAAAATGAGCCAAGTCAAATGAAATCAAGCTCAGCCAAATTTAACTAGGTATAATCTTTTGTGATCCATCAAGATCCATAATTACAAAGCAAAATCACTATTATTTTATACGGCAGTTAAAATCACTAAATGTCTATTTTTTTTTTAAATATTGGGTTAAAAAAATATATCAGAAAGGGGCAAAATTACCAAATTGTTTAAACTATATAAGAAAAAAATATTAAATTTTACTATTTATATAGAGAAATCCCAAATTCTAAGGGGTGCAATTGCCCATCTCAGGCATAACCCTTGCTCATAAAATTAATCTCAATCAAATTTAATGCTAATTTAGATTAGGCGCTCCCTTTAGTAAAACAAGTAAATCTATATTTAATGTTGTTGTATTTTTTGACAAATTCTTTATTATTATTTTGTTTTAACTTTAGTCATAGATTTTAAAATGGTGATTTGTTGACTTTACTTGTTCCTAATCGTGTAGGTGTTTGTGGTTCCTTGTCTTCATACTTTTGTATTGGAGAAGCTGGCGAAGGGAATAAAGCATTTTTGTCTTTTCCTTCATTTCTTTATTTCTACCGTGAGTTTAATAATTCATTAGAAAGGTCTTTTAAGGTACAGTTTATTCATATTTTTTACTCTGTATTTTTACATTTTTTTATCGTTTAAGCTAATCATTAAAAATTTGTATGATTAGGCAAAAACAATTTTCTCTGTTGCTCACGCCCGCTTTCCTTCTCTACTGCACCATTCTAGCCCTCATCAAAGGTGAGGTGTGAAGCATAAATAACTTGAATCTCAACTAGTTGTTGATTATTAAGGATAAAATATTAGGTACGAAGTTCGCATGCATGAATGAATGCACAGTCCTTGTACAACCACATTTTATACGGTTATACCTATGTGTATAATGATATATATAATATGGTTTTACAATAAGTCTGAATACATTGGGTACAACGATATGCAGTATGATTGTACAATGAGTCCACATGTCTGTGAATTTCGCAAGTAAGGTTCTCTCATTATTAAGGGGTTTTTTAGAAGTTTAACTCGCCATTGTGTTCCCTAAAGTGAAGGCATATCATGTTATTACCATCCAAATCTCCTACCATATCAAAATATACACATCCCTGTGAATTGACCCATGCACTTCCAAAGTAAAGTGCTATGTTGACTACTCCAAATCTCCTATCATATCTAATATGCACATCCTTATGAGAGTCTTGTAACATAAATAAGATAGGGGCACAAGTTTCGAGATGTTTTGGCATTGTAACTGCGTAGCTAGGGATCAGCAGTAGATGCTCGTGTCTCGTATCTTAATTTTGTATTTGATATTGATGTATAAATTTAGGGTCGAGTATATATACGTGGAGTCCGACCGTCTTTTTTTTGTATGTTTGACAACCTAACGACACGAATTTATTATTATTATTTTGATTTGACTTGTTTTTCTGCTTTCTATTATATGTTTGCATGCTTGAAATAGATTTTATTGTTTCTTTATGTGGGTTGTCTGGAAATCACGAATGCAATATATGCTACTTAAGGACCCTTAAAATTTTAATTTTTCTACAAAATCTTAATAATAAAAGATTTAAGATAATTAAAATTTATGGTTAAAATATTATGGACTTTTAAAACCTGCACTTTTTTTTTTAAAAATGGCATTCGACCCGATTTTAAAATAGTTCACACGACATGACTATACACCCAATCATGATTTATAGGGCATTCATGCCATATGATTGTGATAAATAATTGCATCATATTTATATATATCAGAGGAGAAGTCTCTTTGCTTCTTCATACATGATTGACCCAACATATGTCTCTACTTTTACGATTGTCTAATGCATTTAGGGTGTTAGAAGGCTTCCGACCCAAAGTGGTGTAAGTCCTTTTGTTAAGAGTATTTTCCAGCTTGGTAGCTGAACCTCCATTTTCTTATTCTTATTTAGCATTAGTGTCACTTCAGCGGGTATAAGTCTCACCTTTTGGAGCTCCACCTATCGTCATAAAATAGAGTTTTGTTCATTTGACCTTAAGGCTACCGAAGTTCTCGTGGATAATGTGATTCACAGATTGTTGACCGAGGAACTCTGGAAGTGTTAGGATGACTATTTTCACGACCGGGTAGACTCGGGATCCTAGTAGCTTGGGATGACGGGTCGGTGGTATCTCGACTCGACTACATCTATGTTCTTTTAGGATTACTCAGTCATTTCTCTTGAGGAGCTTTTTTGAGTCCTATCTCTTTTTTGACTTTGTTGATATCATCTTGACGACTTGATTACCCAAGTTCTTGATAATATAAGTGAAACACTTTTTATGGAGAGTATTTTTGGGTTTTTCCCTAAGATGTAATTAACTAGATAGATATGTTCTTCTGGGAGACTCTTGACCCCGGGAAAAAAAAATATTTTTGTTGGTTATCTGATTACAGGTGGTTTATGTATGGAATTTTTTTCGTGGAAGCTGTGTTTCTAAGCACTTCGATTTGATCATGTTTGAATGTATATTTTTGGTCTATCACAAGAGGATTACACATATATAAATCTTTCAGTTATTTTTTTTTATTTTTTTGCCTATTTGTTATCATATAGCATTCTTTTTTAGTTCTCTCATCTTTGAATCATTGATTTGATTCGGGAGGGAAATTTATTTAAATAAGAAAATTATGGGAATAAATATACAAACTGTCGAGTGGCGACCACAAATGTTTTAAAAAGAATAAAAGAAAAACAACAACAAAAGTAAAGGGTAAAAGCATCTTATTCTGATGAGCTGTGCATTAGAACAATTTTAACATTATTCCCCCACTCAATTCACAAAGAATCTCATTAATTAATTAATTACACCAAACAAATATAATGACAATTGAAGGTATAAAAACGGGCAACTACAGCTAATTACCCCTAAGATCATAAGTTTCAGCTTAACCGAATTTACTAATCTTTTTTCCCCTTTACTTCTACATATTTTTATCATTTAAGCCGATCATTATTTCTTTTTTCATTAGGAAAAAACAATCTTTTCTGTTACTCGACAACTGAAACAATCAAATAAGTATGGAAATAGAAGATGATAGCCGCCATGAAGAAATCATCAGCTCCAACAACAACGATCATATCCATCAAATCCTTCGAGAACTCAAAGGGAAGAAGATATCTAAATTCATCCTCCTCTTCCTCAACATCGTCCTCATCCTCATCGGCGGCAGCGGCGGCCCCCTCATTCTCAGATTCTACTTTCTCCATGGCGGCAAACGCAAATGGTTCAATGCCTTCCTTCAAACAGCCGGCTTTCCCTTCCTCCTCGTCCCCATCTTCTTCTCCTTCTTTTGTCGTCACAGCCGTACCAATCGTCGCCGCTTCTTACTCACTCCCACTCTCCTTCTCCACTGCACCATTATCGGCCTCATCACAGGTGAGGCTTGCAGCATAAATAATGTGAATTTCAACAAGTTGTTGATTATTAAGGGTAAAAGATTAGGCATGGAACATATTTTTTGTAAAATTATATTGTACACCGTTGAGAATGTACAACTTAGTGGTGTGTGTGTGTGTGTGTGTGTGTGTGTGTGTGTGGCATGAGAGAGAGGCAAGGGCTTGGAGATTTTTTTCAAGGATTGTAAGAGGAGAGGTAAGGTGACAAATTTCTTCTTCATTACATTTCTAGGAGAGAATTGAGTGTGCTTGTGAGAAGAGAAAGGCTTGAAGAGAACATCTAAAGATTTCTTTAGGAAGGATTGTGAGATAAGTTGTGTATTTTATTTCTTTTATTTTGTAAACTTGTTTTTATAAATGAAATCCATGTTTTGTCGTATCCTTCTCATGAAATCTGAGTAGTCTTCTTTATCCTTCTCCTTACTTTGAGATTTGGTTTTGTGAAGAATGGATTTTATGTTATACGATTTTAAATGTCAATAATTTATGATGATTTAAATCTAGATCTTCATTTACTTTTTGATTTGGCCAATTGAAATGTTAAAATGTGTTAAGAAACATATGTTTCGAAGGGCTATGATTTCTAAAACATGGGAAGAATCACATTTGATTTCATGGGAGAGTATTTCATTCATGGGGTTGAGTGCAAATAAATAGGGAAATGTACTTTGTTGGATGTAGAATTAGAGATTTTAAGTTTACATATTAAAATCTTCAATTTTGTCCAGTTGATTAGAAACTGATGCAAGATTGTTAGTCCTTAGGTGAGAGAGTAATGAGAGCTCTGGAGTGGCAGGCGGTATACTCCCCGCCCTAACCCCGAAA